GCGACACTACATCTTCCCTTCCCACTACCACTGCCATCATCACCGACACCTTCGTGACTACTGTTGCATCTGTCACGCAATCGAACTCAATATGTCCAGAATGTAAGGAGATGGGTGTCTCAGACTTACTTAATCGGCTTAACAGATCCCTATGTCTTCATGATCCTTTACTCTACGTATTTGAGACCTACAATGTGACAAATCAAACTGCAAGACCAGGATTGCTGTATTCCCTTGATAATGGCAACCGTCTGGCCAAGTGGAATACCACAATGAATATGTTAGTGGGTTGTGAATGCAAGTGTGCTTCAGAGAAAGCTTTCGGGCTCTTTGATTTGTACATCCAACCAGGTGCAGTGAATATCGATCTCGTAGGGCTTGAGGTGGTGCCCCTTAATGATCTCATCAAAGTAGCTTCGCAGTTCAGGAGACGATTAAAGATCAAGATGCCGGAAATGAACCACAATGAGAGGAAATTTTGGTGTGCTAATAGAGTACCATTTTTTTCTCTCCTTCAGAGGCTGACGATTAGCTAAACAAAAATTTTAGCATAAATAGCCGACTATGACCTCTGTTGATTAAGCAACATTGCTATTACTTTTGTTAATTATTTTCCTTTACAGTTCATTCTGCCTTACCCTTTCTCTTCCTTCCTGTCTGCTTTTATGATAAATCATTTCAAATTTTTATTAAACCTTTGTATTAAGGTACATTCAGATTTAAATATATCCAGGTTTGTCTAAGAGTTCAAGTGTGATTACTGAAGTAAGGATAGGTAGAGTGCCATAGTGGTATGCTTCGTGATTAGGACTCGTGTAATAGCAGATATGCAACTTGACAATATCTTTACAAATAATTTAAGTGCCTTACTAAAGCTAATAGCACATTTTTTATTCACATTTTCGAAATGACTACCGTTAAATATCTCTGTGATAATATGGAGTTCTATTTTATATAAGCAACGTGAATTAATTACTGACGCTGCAACATTTACTGAAAGAGATTGTATCATGCAACAGTATTGAACAACCGTCATCAGGAAAACTGAGGTAGGTAGTTATGAATTTCATCAACTGAAGGGGCATAATACGAAATAAACATGCAGCAATTTATGCAGTTATGTGTCTTGTCGTTAAAACTAAAAGAAACTCTGGACTTGGACATGCCCACTCCTGCCTAATTGCCATCATACTGGTTTGGATATTTCGATGAGATTTAACAGACGCCTAGCGTCACCATTTGTCACTGAAGCACTTGATCTCACAGATTTGACACAGGTGTTTAGGCAGTGACTGAGGCACAGAGCAAACAAAGACAGTGAACAATGCTCGAGGTGTCAGTTGTCTAGCTTGGCAGTGGATGATTACGTTCCCATTGTCCATTCCATCGTCTGTCCTGCGACAGCTGTCACACGCTCTCAATAATGTTGGCGTCACTGACTTCATCTGAGATGCTTTTGGTTCGCAAGTAAATGCGTGTTACTGAATAGTAGTTAGCAATGCATCTATTCTCTCATAACACCCTCTGTTATGTCTGCTGACATTCAAGCACACGCCAATCACAGACGCATATTTGTGCGCCAAATGTGCCACGCATGAATGGACTGTCAGCGCAAACAGCAGAGACACTGAACGCCACATATCACTTCGTCCGTTGAATGGCATGTGGGAGTCGCACGTGTGGCCCAACTCGTGGCAGGATGTAGTGTCTCACGTTGAATGTCAGTACCTCCTTATGATGCCACACACACACTTCTGCCTACCACTCGCCTCCTCTGCATCGCTGATGAGATCGTGCACGAGGATGAGAGTGTCCAGTGGTTGATTGTCCTTCCAATGCTACATGACTTTACGGAGTGTATCTCCCACCCCAATGGAATCAAAGTGGTGTACATGCCGACGTCTCTTACATTCAACTGTGTCGATGCGTCTTACTGGCCTTGGATTCTAAATTTCTCCAAGATCCTGACCAGAAGCCCATATAGGCGAGATACATTGTAGCAGCATATAGTGGATTGTGAAGCCAATGAAACTTAAAATCGCTTGATTTCCTGGATGATGAGGTGATTTGCCCATCGCTTCCATGATCACAGCGAGTCTTAGCGCTATTTCCACAGTCTCACTAACACTCTTCCCACCGGATCATCCCATTTTCACAGACCTTTAATGAACTGCAGAAGGAGGTGAGATGTATATTAAAGCGACTACCAGGCTCGAGTACAATTGGGACCTGATATTTTACATTGCATATGTATCTGTCCTCAGCCTTGGATGTGCCTACTGTTGGCAAATGAAAAGTTGACAATCGGGCCTTTGGCGTCAGGAGATCGGAAAAACAAAGGTGAGTACAATATACTTCATAAATTGTTAAAAGCCTCTCCTAGTACTTAATTGCTCTAACTGACCATATAAATGGTGTCAGTTAGCTGATATGGTAAAGAGTTTATGAAAACCAGCAAAAGTGAACAAAACCGATGACCTTATTACCATTGCCTTATAATGATAAGTATCTTCTACCTAAGCTAATTTCCTGTCGCCTTCGTAATTTTATGTGGCAATAAATTTTACATGTGTATCCAAATTCTTACAGCACCACTGATGATTAAATAGTTTTCATAACACTTATTCGTAAACGAAGAAATTGCTCCAAATGTGTTAGTTTTGGAAACTCAAAAGCCTATTCTTATTGTGGAAGGTCGATTTAAGTGTCGAAGTGAGCTCTAGTTGAATCCAAAAAGGCATTTCATGAGGTCTATAGAAAGCATTATTATATGCTTCTTACTGAAAAGAAAATTCCGTCTACATTTTACCGCCATTTTTAGCCAACCTCCTTTGCTTCCCTTTTCCAAATTCATTATACACAGCCATGTAAAACCGCTACTTTGCTCATAATTTTGGAGCATCTACCCTACTTGCACCAACCGGGAATATATTTAAATTGCTTTGGTTGTAGGACTTAATTAGGGCTATCATTTATGCATGCAGTGTATTGAAGTGTGAATATTCACCAGGTTTATGGAATCTGTACCGTAAATAGTGCTGCTGGATTTGGCACGTCATATTTATACCTTGATTTATCTGGCAAAAAGGAGTCTACTAATGATAATGATACAAATGCGCAAATGTAGAAGCTGGTCAAACTCTAGTGATGAAGCATATCAGGTGTCAATTTGTGCAAAATAAGTGATTTTCCCAAACCACATCTTCTCTGCCATTACAGTTGTCTTGCATTTCAAAGCCATGCAGCCATTACTGCCCATTGTCCATCAGCCCATGTCACCTCTTTGTCAATGGACATAGTAAGTGTTTGTAGAGATGTTTTCAAGCTTCCACTTGCAATTGCTATGTGCTACATCTTCGCGTATCGTCCAGGCATCAATCTCCTGCAGACTTTGAAGCTGGTTCTGCTTACTCACGACTGCGATAAAATCTCACCCAGCCATGTACAACATTGCATTTCAACATAAGAAGCACCTCATATTGGTGGATATACTGTATTTATATTATAGCGCATACTTAATAGGCAAGATAAATGGCATTTTCACGGAAACAATGAATTTAATCAAACAATTACTAAAAATATAGTAGATATTTATGTATAAATAAATATTAGGCATGCCAATACCAGATCACCAGCCCTCCTTGTTGACTATTCCATGTTACCGAAAAGCACAAAATAGTTGACTATTTCTGTGCTGATAGTCTCCTACAATGGATGGATGAATCTCACGCAATTGTCCTCCTTACAATTTTTACAAAAAAGCACCATAGATGCTTTACATTACCATGCCTGATTTTCTTGCCATCAATATAACTGCCCAATGCTTCTGTAATGCCCTGAATCCCTCAGTCACGAATATTTTTACGCCCCCTTATGCCTCAACACTCATTGCAGAGAGCATGTGATGCTGTTTTCAGAAGTAACTGGCGCTTTTAACAGCACTCACTAAGAACCACCAACCCTCACTCGTGCCCATGACGTATGAAAATTCATTGATGTGATGTGTGGTGACGTGTTGCAAGTAACCTGTAGCCAGCATCTAAAACTGGTGACGCAGAAGAGATTTCGATGAAACGACGTGCAGCCCACATCGTTGTAATGCCAAATTGAGTCGATAAGGCACATTTCCGTGTCCATCTTACTGCGAATTTCTGCTGCGCGTTTGCAATGGTTGATTGCATTTGTAGTTAAGGGAGTAATCCAACTCTAGTTTAGCTTTCAGTTTTAGCTCCATTGTAATACAAAGGATTTTTAACTCCCTGTCTAGTGAAGAGGCACTTTTGACTTGGCCACTGTACTA